ATCACACTACTGATGGCAACACGATCATGGCTATGGACACACAGCTTAAAATGACATTTTCAGCATGTGTCTGCTTTAGAGTAGTGGTTCCAAAATCTGAGTAATCCAAGTGTTTTTGGACTGCAACTCCTAGAAGCCTTCACCACTTGCTGCGCTGGCCAGGGTTTCTGGGAGTTGTAGTCCACGAACACCAAGGCTACCCAAGGTTAGGAAACACTCCTTTAGAGGAATCTGCAATGCACTGCATGCTTTAGCTCAGTAATGGTTATGGTAACTCTGCAGAATAGGAGAATATTAGTATCCCCATATTCTAGATGGAGGGCTGAAGTTAAGGCATTCTGATTTGCCTAAACCCACCTAGTTAAGGTCATAGCTAAAGTGAGATTTTTAGTGTACAGTATCTGTATCAACTCTTTGCTGCTGTTTTGCTCGAACTCTCAATTGCCAAACCTTTACCTGGATGAAGTTAATCACAAATAAACGGTGAGTCCCTTAAACCCCACAGATTTCAATGAAATGCAAGTCTGACACGTTCTGGATAGATCTCAGCCACAGTGCTCATATACTAGTTATTCTACATAGTCAAAGCATTCACTGCAACAATCCTTTCAACAATATTGTAACCAGGACAATGTAAGTATGCCCATATTGCAGAAGGGGAAGTGTATCAGGTGAAGGCCATCTTATGAGTTTGCAGCGGTGGCAAGAACCTAGTTCTCATGCTCATCCATGACTCTATATTATCCCTTTACTCAGGCCTGCTGCCCAGATGAAAAGGGTGACACATTGACATGCCTCTTGATTTCTCTTAGTTTCCAACTATGGCAGCTCACATAAGCTGTTGAGTCAAGGGTAACAAAATCTGGTTCCGATTAAGGAACTGTGGGAGGTTTTACACTTTCATATGTGGGGTTAAAAAATTATTCTTTCTTATACTGTCCAAGGATGGCAAGGCTATACTGTAGTGCTATGGATAATGTTGCGGATCTGCCCGGGGAAGACAACTCAGGTTTGTCTTGACTGGGATGTGCTTGAGACAGGTTACTCTCTCTCATACCATCTAACCAATGATGCAATGGGACACATAAGCTGCCCTCAGCACCCATGGAACAAAGGATCACCCTCAGTAATTTGAGACTTGGGTTTCTCTGAATCTGTTACTTCTAGGTACACTTCAGAACACAGGAGGCTAAGAACATTTGTTGCTTGTTTGCACACTCTACAGGCAAGAGTAACCATCAGAATAGGCTCACCTTAGGCATGCATCAAAAATGTGCTCCTTTGTTTCTATCCAGACCCAGTGTTCATGGTATAGTTTACTGACCAAAGTTCAGTACAGTCCTGCTGATTTCTTTACGATTATTGCTGTTCAGAGAAGGGGAAATCGCAATATGGTTGATGGAACTCTAGCTAATACACGGGGTCCAACAGAACCAACGCTGGGCCAAAGTTCTTTTCATGAGCATAAGCAGGGATAGTAGTTTTACACATGGGTGTGTTTTTTAAACATTCACTGGGATCTAGTTATTAACTGAGGTCATAATCTGAGTCTAGACTCTAGACTGCTGCATCAGACTGAAGGTAGGGGGTCATATAACTAAACATTCTTTTATAATGCATAAATAAATAGTTTTAGACATGTATATTAGAAGGAAGGATTGTAATCTAGCTTTTTATACAACATATTAATTTCCTATGTGCATGGGACTTTGTACGTGTGTCTGTTTATGTTTATGCACTGTGTGAATCAGCAGTCAAATCAGTTTGAATTTAACTGTTGCGTACAATAGTACAGCCCAAATACACTTGTGAACAGAAATAAGCCCAAAAATTTGCCAAAAACTGGGCAAAATATTATCCCCTTCCAATGCAGGTTGTGAAACATGGGCCGCTGGGGCAGAGTAAGAGGGTGCCTACTGTATGAACTGAAGTTGGATTCACTCAAGAAGCCAAGACATTTGGGTGTCTGATGTGGAAATGTAGCTACTTCCTACTCATTAACATGGGAGATAATTCCACAAGGGCCTTGGAATCCTGTGGCCTGAAATGCCAAGGAGCCTGAAATGCAACAACAGCATAGGAAAGCTCTTGTGCAACTCCTATTCATTTCAGTTCAGCTTGAGACATCACAGGTAGGTAATAAGCCATAGCTCAGATGTCTGTCCAATGACAAGACCCCCTCTGTCCTGGACCAAGGTTTCCACAGATGTGCAGGACAATCAGTACACACGGTGTAACCAAGCTGATGTGTCAAAAGATGTCCAACAGTGCCGCCAAGCGGAACAGGTGTTTCCAGGCATATTTTCACAAGAAGCAAGTCTCTATTGGGGAGTCAGATAGGTTGACTAAGGCAGAAGAGGAAACAGTAGTGAAAAGACAAAGCCTGTCACTGTCGGACAAACCAACAAAGGTATGCACACAAGTGCAAAAATGCACACGCACGCACGCACACACACACACCAACAGCTGTGACTGCTAGTTACATTCTGATCTCAGCTTCTATTCGGCAAATTCAGATTCCCACCCCTCTCTCCAGTTGTATCGGTGAAAATCAAGTCAGGTTTCCAATCTCTGTTCAAGAAGCACAAACAACATTCCACCTTCCCGAAATACCAGCATTCCCTAGATACGCACATTCACTGTTGCACAGGGAAAGCAGGGTGAGGTTTGGATCACCAGAGGGAAATGGCCTCAGAACCCACACAAACACCTCCTTCTTCCTCTGTAAGGCCTCATAAACTATATCACAGCAGCTGTTCACAACATTCAAGAGGAAGTAACAAAAGCATGTTTAGCAGCATGGTGGTGGGGGAAGGAGAGATGGGTTGTCTTTTTGTGGCACGTTTAATGCCACTTCAGCCTATTGCACACAAAGACAAGTTGTTTCCAGTCTACTGTTTTGCTGCAGACGGCACATGTGGGTATCAAATAATTAGTTCTTTTCATCTTTTGCAAAGCCACCAGTCTGGATTTGCATTATTAGTGGTTAATAAATAAAATCTCTCTGTCGCGGGGCAAGTTCTATAGTAGGAAAGGCCAGACCTTCCCACCAGCTACAAAAATAAATACAGGGCCATCTGCTTTGGGGAGCTTTCCTGTCGTTGGACTTTGATGGTGGCAAAGAAGCACGGGTGGATCCACAGGCAGAGACCAGTCCTTGGAGCAGACACAGAGTCAGCAGCCTGAAAGCTCTCATTAAGAAGCGGAGATATGGCTCAGGATTGTGGAATGACCAGAATACAGCTGCACCACCTTTGAGACCACCTGGGATAAGAATGGCTGGATTTTGTAGAAGCTGACGGAGAGAAGACTGGAAATGTTGGAATGGAAGGTATCCTCCTATTTGCTTGCTACCAGAGATCTGTGTGGTAGCACTTGCAGAGCTGTTATATATTTCAGTGAGAGAACATCCTCCTGGATTGTATTTCAGGAGCAGGCAAAACACATCTACACCTATTTTTTACACTCCCCAAGAGCCTCCTGACCTCAGTTCAATATCTCTCTCTCTCTCTCTCTCTCTCTCTCTCTCTCTCTCTCTCTCTCTCTCACACACACACACACACACACACACACACACACGCACACACACACACACAAAAAGAGTACATGTCCCTGTTAGGTGTACATGAAATCACTATTAGAACTGGTAGCTTTCATACTGACCACATCCTCACGTCACACTAAGCCTTGGTGAAATCCGTTGAAACATGACTTCTAGTGATGTAAAAACCTGCATTTCATAATAAATCACAGCTTCTTAACCAACTACAGACTACAACCAGAACTAATGATTTGTTGATGTCTTGCTTTGACTTGTTTAAAACTATGGTTGTTCTGATATCTCATCCCACAGCGGTGGCTTGTCTCTGAGTTTGTTTTCCCAGCTACCCACCTTGAAATAGAAGCTGAAAAAAGAGTTGGAGGAGAAACAAACAAACAAACAAGCAAACAAAAAGGGACAGACAAGCCATAGCTTGTTTGGTCACCTGCTGTACAATCTGTTGCTTAAACAACAAACCATAGCTAACACAGGCAGTAGCTTACTGTGATGGGTGAAGATATTCACTGGCTGTTTATTTTTCAGGGGAGCCACATAAAACTTCCTCTGTGAATCAGGATTAAGCTGCGGTGGAGTAACTTTACAGTACTTCTATTGGATATTTCGCTGTAGTTGCCCACCTTTCCTTTGGCTGTTACTTGCTCTAAGCCCTTGAGAGCAACAATCTCTTTTGCGACACACAGCAAAGTTTCCTGAAACGGAGTCTGTTGCTCAAGGGCTCCTCAATGATCCAGCCTGCCCAGGAATGTAGTTGCCAAACTCTGTGATAGACATAATGTACAGGCTGTGCTCAGACTATTTTCCAAAGAATCTTCTGTCTTAAAGAAGTCCTCTTTGCTAAAAATCTCCACATGGGTAATTCTCAGTTGAATTTTTAAAATGTCAGTACAGTATTTGATTTATTCTAAAATAGCATATAATCCCTTTTAAAAACCTTGTTTTGCCTTGGTTTTTTCATTAAAACAAATAAAAGGTCAAAATCTTTTATAGTGTACATCTTAAATGCATATGTGTGACTGTGTGCTCTTTCCCTTTAAACATCCATCCATCCATCCATCCATCCATCCATCCATCCATCCATCCATCCATCCATCCATCCATCCATCCATCCATCCATCCATCCATCCATTCCACCCAAACTAATAGCCAGGCTACTACTCTGGGTGGCAATATATTAAATAATGTGATAATTTTAGGAAATTTTCATCTCAGTCCTAAATCAAAAGAACATTCAAGTGGCATAACGTCCAGATAAACACACTTAGAATTTCATCTAGTGAATGGCAATAAATAATGCATTTTTCCCAAGCATCCACCTTTTATACCAGGGGATTTCTCTCTCTCTTTCTCTCTCTCTCACACAAACACAAAGTACACTGAACTTTGGAAAATTTTGAGCAGCCATAACTAACACAAAGTACACTAACTTTGGAAAATTTTGAGCAGCCATAACTTAGACATGCCATCACCTTTCAAGAGGGTTTGACTTTCCTCTTATATTCTGCTCTCTCTCTCTCTCTCTCTCTTCTTCATTCATAAAAACCATGGTTTTCTGTAGAAGAAACAGGATGGCGCTAAGCTACAGGAAAGTCCCTTCAACACCTCTGAGAGGGATGCCAAACTATGAGAACCAATCCAGGAGGAGGTAAAGCGTAACAGCCACCAGGGGCATGCAGCTGCTGAACATCACGGGCAGGAAGACAAAGAGGCCAAGGAACTGCAGGGAGCGTGTCAGGATCTTTTCAAGTTCATGATGAGAACTGGGATTGGTTTTAGGAGGCTTGTGAACCTGTAGCCCCTCACCCAGCCAGAGGCTGCCTTGCCCTATCAAGAAGCCCTGGCCTTTGCTTTGTGCATGAGCACCAAAAAGAGGGCTGGATGGTATATCCACGGGACGCTTTGGTAGGGGCATGAATGTCCGGGCTGGGACCACTAAAGGCATCACCATGGCCTCCTGGGTGGCTGGTCGTAAGGTGTTGGGTGACACCACTTTTAAGCTGACTAAGGAATCGGAGCCCTTGGCTGGGTCCTGCTGAACGCTTCCCTCTTCCAAGTGATTGAGAAAGCAGCCTTCTAGTAAGACTGGTGGGCTCTCACGGCCTGGTCCCATCAATTCAGGTGGTGCCAGGTTTGCATACCCGGGTGTGAATCCCTCCTCCTCACTGTCTTTGGAGTCATCACCCCTTTGCTTGGCATAGTGCAGGGTGATCTCCTCTGCCAGGGAGCTGTTGAGTGCTCTCTCGGGGCCTGTCCAGTTGACTATTAAGTCACGGTCAGTCAAGACACTCTGCCGCAAGGCAAGAAGAGATGGCGCGGGGCTGCTGGAGTTGCCCAAGCCCTCCTCAGCCCACTCTCCTCTTCCTCCAAGCTCCTCTGCTCGGAGCCGGCTCAAGTGGGAAAGGTAGAGCTGCTCCAGCTCCCGGTCTATGGCATCTTCCTCCACACGGTACGGCAGCTCTTGGTATCTTCTCAGCTGGTCCTCCATGCAGTCCTCCAGGAAAGAGCCCTCTGTGGTGAGATCCCCCTTGCTGAACTCAGGCACTTCCCACGGCCCCGAAGGATGGGTTTCGGTTCCCAGCACCAAGCCCCATGGCACTTTCAGCTCCTCATGGGATGAGGGATGGGCCTTGATGGTGAGCATCTGGGAGGACTCCATGAAATCCAGAGGGTGGTCTTTGGAAGGCTCCTTCTTTACAGGGGAATCGGCGGTGATTGTGAGTTCTGGAATCTAGGAAAGGTGAGGGGGGGAAAAAAAGAAGAAAGGATATATAGAAAGAAAATGGCAGAAGGTGATGATATGTTCAAAGTGATAAGGCTCGCAGCTCTCCGTGGGGACATAAGAATAGCAAAGCTAAAGGTTTCTCCTTGCTAGCATCAAGATTCATCGTCAAGACTGCAAGTAACCAGTCTTCTTCTTTTTTACATCACCACCATTCTCATCATTGTCTAGTAATACACACACAGCTGCACACCTACTAAGGGGGAAATTGTCACTTAGTTTAAGGCAAAAAACAGATTAAAATATTATCTAATACATCATTAGCCAGATGCATCAGTTTTAATTTAAATTGATATTAGGGGGATTTTGAGCTACTGGAATCATATGGGCCCACAGAGATTGGTCACTCAAGGTTATGGATCATTGAGTCCAGTCCCTGTTAAGGAGGCAGACTGGAGAATCGAACTCCCAGTCTCTTGCTCTGCAGCCAGAGACCTACACCACTGAGCTATCCAGAAGTTCTCCTTTTGTTCATGCTGAAGGAATGACATTTTTAAAACAAAACACACACATTATGGCACACATAATCCCAAATTCAGGCCTTCCTTCCAAAAAACCCTTTTATCAGCTCTAAGAGGGCTGAACAGGCTAATTCCCTCTTCTTCCCTCACCCCATTTGGAAGAACACCAGAAACATCTCAACATCCTGGATCTTACTGGTCCTTGTGAGGACATTTTCAGGTATTTTTAAACATTTCTTTTTTTTTCCTGACAATTTGCAAACTTACATATTTCTGCATAGCTAGGGAGTCTTCCAGGTATGTAGAACGGGAGCTCTGAAAGTTTCTTTTTAAAATTAATGTGTTACATAATTTATTACATAACCTCCTCCCACCAATTAATTCCTTATTTTACAAACTTTTTTTAAAGCTATAGTTTGTTGTATTGTATTATTAATTTTTCATTGTTGGCCAGTAGATTCTAGTTCTGAAAACAGAGTTTTAAAATGTCCCAAAAATTTAATTTTGAAATAACTAGAAAGCTTTAGTCATCACACAGACCAACTTCACTCTCATCCCACAATACTGTCCCCATTACCTGGAGCACATAAGAAATACAACTTCATTACACTTTCCTCTCTAACAGTAATGAGTTATAGTTAAGCATATTATTTGTAATTCATGACTTCCAAGCCTTTAAAAATAGTACTGGGTTTTTGAATTGTAAGAATCCCAGCAGGTGGCGAGTTCGCCCCCTCTGGCCCTGCGGGGGGTGGGTGGGGGAGCCTCCCAAGGGTCCTGGAAGGTAGACTTGGAACCTTGGGAGGCTCCCCCCACCCCCACGGGGCCAGTGGGGGCGAAATTGCCAGCTTCGCTCCATAAGATGCACAGACTCCCCCCCCTTTTTTTGGGGGGGGAAGTGCATCTTATAGAGCCAAAAATATGGTATATGGTCACCAAAAGATGTCGGAATTATAAATACTGCTCTACTGCTCTAGAAAGTATATTGTATGCTGCTTTCAGTGTTGAAAAGCATTGTCCCACAATCAGACCATTTTTTTAAATATGAGGTCTTGATTTTCAGACCAGTATTTTCCTACACAGTTAATTTAGCATGGGCGTATGAGTCAAATTATAATGGATGAGATCTCATATTCCAGGCTAACCTGGCTCTGAAATTGTTGGGAGAGGGGACACCCCTACATGAAGAGAACCTAAAGCTGTCTAGCCAAAAAGTTGTTCCAAAGAGGTTGATTCCGTAATTGCCCAAGAAGAATTAGTGGAATCAGTCTTATCTGCCAATTATTTGTACACACCTAATCGTATGCCCTCTGATACAAATGGAAATCTGGAAAACCAACTCTCCTTCTGAGAATGACAACTGCACTTCTGCAGTGCAAAATGGGTAGAGGAAGCATCCCCACATTAATTTCCTAATGCTGTGTTTAACTTAGGGAAATCCAAAAAGCAATGGGACAAAACACCACATAACTCACTTTCAAGATACATATAGGATTATCTTTTGTATGATCCTGCTTTCCTTCTAAACTGAGAACCACTCAGCACTACTAGAGTTCAGTATTTGGGGCGGGGGGGAACAGATATGAGACCTCATCCAGCAGACTTCTGTCCCTTCAATAGGACTTTACAAGACTCTTCCCCTTCCTGAATCTTGCTCCCAAATCTGTTCCACAGGGAGAATCAGTTCCACCACTGATGTTCATTCCTCCAAAAGGCACTTTGGAAATGTCTATGTGATGGGTGACTCTGGAATTTGTTGTATTAAAAAACAAACAAACTTCCGAGCACGGGTCTTTAAACCATACAAGGCAACTGCATCACCTGCTTTCATATTTTGCTCCAGGATTCTTCTAATGAACTACTGGGGAGGATATTATAATTCTGATGAAGCACATACCTAATGCAAATTGGTATGACATCTTCACAAAAACAAAAAAAGCAACAAAAATGATGCAAAAGCTTATTGCAAAAGTGGTCCACAAAAAAAACCCCAGTGAGATACCAAGCAAAGCATGCTGCTTATATACCACCCGATAGCACTTAAAGCACTCTCTGGGTGATTTACAGTTTAATTATGCTGGCCACACATTGCCTTTCAGCAAGCCGGGTACTCAATTTACCAACCTCAGAAGGATGGAAAGCTGAGTCAACCTTGAGCCGGCTACCTGAGCCTGTTGGGGCTGAACTCAGGTTGTGAGCAGAGTCTTGACTGAAGTACTACAATTTAGTCACAGTGCCACAGAGCTTCTACAAAAAGATTTTCTCAGGATTCTGACTGTAAGATGAGGATACACTCGTGTCCCGCTTAACGATTACCCCATATAACGGCGAAACCACTTCACGACGATGTTTTTTACGATCGCAATTGCAATCACAAAACGATGTTTTAATGGGTTTTTTCCACTTTGCAACAATCGGTTCTCTGCTTTGGGAACCGATTCTTCGCGTTACAATGATCAAAACAGCTGATCGTTGGGTTTTCAAAATGGCCGCCGGCTGCTCAAAATGGCTCCCTGCTGTTTTTAGGAGGCATTTTTCACAAGACAGGCACCCGAAAATGACTGCCGTATGGAGGATCTTCACTGGACGATTAGGTATTTTGCCCATTGGAACGCATTAACTGGTTTTTAATGCGTTTCAATGGGTTTTTAAATTTCGTTTGACGATGTTTTCGCTCTACAGCGATTTCGCTGGAACGAATTAACGTCGTCAAGTGAGGCACCACTGTAACTGGTCTAAACTCTTTGCCCCTCTTTCTAAACTCATAAGATGATTGCGGTGATAGATATAATATGGAGCAGTTTGCTATTTGAGCTGATACACCGGAATAGGGAAAACCTTGCACAAACAAATGCATTCTGCAACAAAGATGGGCCACTCTCCCAAGGAAGCAAAAGCTAAACCTAAAGCCTGAATATATGGTCTAAAGGGCTGAATCCTCAGAGTGATTTGTTTCTCCTTACCTGTGTCATAAAAGGTGAGGGTTGCAATGTAGGAAAGTTTGATAATTCACTGGCCGCATCTTGTTCAGTATTGCCCTCTGTGGAGAAAAAGAAGCCAAAAAAGAAGTGGGGAAGGGATCAGAATTGGCCTTCTTCAGCCAAAGCAACATTCTGCAAATGCTCACAGCGGACAGACTTTTAACTAGTACATATAATCACAGAATTAGTAATGTCTCTAGAGTAGAGATGGGCACTTACTGGTTTGGTGCAGTTTGGCAGACTGGGCCCGCAGGTGTTGCAGCTGTATCCTGGATTTTGTGCCCACCTCCCACCCCCCACAGGTGCCCACTCAGAGGAGGAGGCAGGGTAGGGAATCCTTCAGCACTGCTTCTGACAGCACGGCTGCAGGAGGAGATAGGGTGCGGAATCTGGAGCACCGACACAACACTTGTGGGCCCAATCTGCTGAACTGGGCCAAAATGAAGTACTTGCCCATCTCTACTCTAGAGCTATCCAAGGAGTCAGAATAAGGCAAAGCAGACTTCCAATGGCGGACGTATGGATCAAGTCTTTCACGTAACTCCCTAGCCCTCCAGCATCCCTATGGTAATTAAAGCAATGGAACATAAGCTGATATATATGTGAATTGATACAATTTAATTAGGCTGCATGATTTCGCATTTCTTCCCACAGAATTTGCCTTGTGCCCAGCAACTTTCCGTTTAATCAGGTTTGCAATGATTTCAATGTCCAGAATCCTATTGGTTTTGGCATAAAGTTTCTGTAACTTCCTGCAGCAAACTGTGACTACTTGATGGGGTGTAAGAATGCATCTTGGTTGCACAACGAGATATGTGACCAGGCATGTGAACAAGACAAACTCCAGCACGGGGTCAATTGCCAGCAATTAGCCGTGGCATGCAAGTCTTATGTGAACATCAATAAGATTCTGGCCACTGAATGAGTGGAATAAGATGACCCATGCAAAAAAAAAAAAAAAAAAAAAAAAAAAAAAAAAAAAAAAAAAGCTACGAAACCACCAAACAATAGCATAGTAGTAAAATGCATAAAGTACTCTATAAAGCATAATTCATTTTTAACTCTACCTGTCTTGATTTTGTGGTGAGCCATCTTGGGTCCCATTTCTGGAAGAAAGGAGAGATACACTGTGAATCAAATAAATAAATAAATAAATAAATAAATACATCATAAATTATAAATAAATCATCATTATCAAGCAGGGAGTTCTGTCTGGTGCTTTATGACTAGGAGAAAATATCCTTTCCTGCTAAACCAGAAAGGATTGAGGAGTACTGAAACAGACTACAAAAAAGGGATAGTATTCTGATTTTAAAAGCATTGGCAAAAGTCTATTGTTTAGCGGAATAATCATATTACAGCAGGCCCTGTAAATAAATGGGGATTTAAAGATCCAACTCCTTTGTAGGTTACATGAGTCAAATTGCCCCACTCTAACTGTAAATTACTATAAAGTACTCCCCATATCCAAAGGATCTATATCTGCAACTTCACTTATCCACGGTCTAAAAGTATGAAAAAAAAAAAATAGAAATATGTATTTTCCATAGTGAATTTACCAGAACTGGCCACTAGAGGGAGCCAGAGACCATGCTATGTAGTCTTGTTGTTGAAAAATACATAGCATGGTCTCTGGCTCCCTCTAATGATCAGTTCTGGTAATACATAGTGAAAATATGTTTCTGGATTATTATTTTTTCTTTTACCATACTATGTATAGCATTTGCTATACTCCGTGGTTTTTGGCATCCGTGAGGGGATCTTGGAACCAATTTACCACAGATACAGCAGTCCTTTTATACTAAAGATGCCATTTGTTGTGGGCACATTTGTGCACACACACGTTATGTGCCACAAAGTCACTTCTGACTTGTGGGCTTATGAATTAGCGACTTCCAGAAGGTTCTATTATTAATACTCCAGTTCAGGTTTTCATGGGCTCTGGCTTCAATTCATTACATTTTAGGGTGTCCTATTTTCTTATTACCATCAACTTTTTCTAATATTTATTGATTTTCCTAACATCTTTTCCATGGAGTCCTTTTGTCTTGATTTTATTTACATTATTTGAAATCCACTCATTTGGGGAGAGTCCATGGTAGCTATACAACTCACCTCTAACACCAGATCTCAAATGAATAATTTCCACCACTGTCAGTTTTCTTCATTGTTCAATTCTGCACATGTAGATATTTAGCTGGAAATATCACAGAATTGTTGTGGCCTTGGTCCTTCCTATTTAAGATTTTTTTTTCTAGTTCCTTCATGGCTGCCATTCTATACAATACAAATGGCAGCACTTGGGAGTAACTAGTTATAAGTAACATGGCTACTTTTGAGATTATAAGTAATATAACAAGTTGTTATAAAATTACAATAAAAGCAGTTTAATAAATAGTAGTAGTAGTAGCAGTAGTAGTTATCTGCTGTGAAGCTGGAAGTGGCATATAGTGAACCTAACAGGAATTTCAAGGTAAATGAGATATTTAAGAAGTGTTTAACAGTTCCATATGCCCAGTGAGTTTCCATTCAAACCCAGGCCTCCCGAGTCCTATCTGTTACTTTTTCCACTACACCATACTTGGTATCTCCAGTAAGTAGTTACATAACTACTTTTTAGGTATAATGAGCTACATTTTGTAGCTGGTGTAAACACTTTCTTTTTAAGTTTATTTTAACTGGCAACTGGTAAAATAGCATTTTATAAGCATTTTGATACAACAGTTAGATTTTAAGTGACTCTTCTATCAATCCTAAATGGCAGAGAAATATTTTTGGGTTTTGTCTTTTTTCATAAACATCTGCAAACTGCAATATCAGAATTGGCCACTAGAGAGAGCTAGAGTATTTCTCTTATTTTTCTGTTCTTATCAGTAATGAGAACATAATGAACTGGTAACACATTATGCGAGTTGTACTATTGTATCAATGAGGGCAGGGTCACAAGAGGTTGCAGGTAATGATGGCAAAAAGCATAACCTCCATCACACCACGTCTGGGAATGTACCTGTGGCATCTGACCAGCCAGTAATTACAGGGAAAACACTGAGATGGATAGATCTACTTGTCAGACCTTGTCTTCTCTTGTTCTTAAGGCCAAGTTACACACAACAAGCAAGCAGTCGTGACAAATTTTTGCTCCTTAGTGTCTTCAGGAAAGAGCCAAAAGCTTAGAGTAAGATCACGTTCTACCAATACAGAAGATCTCAGACTCCATATCTAGCATTTCCAGTTGTTGTTTTTTTTAAAACACCCTCATGCAACAAAACTGGGAAATTCCTGCTCTCAAATACAATAGACATAAGAACAGTCCTTCTGCTTTAGACCAAATTCAGAGAACATGGAAGGAACCTCCTGAAGAATGTGAGGACTGTGAGCACACTCGGGCATTCCCCTGGGCGAGAGGAGCAGATCCTTCCATTTCAGAGGCACCACTGGACAGTATCTCCAACATGAATGAAGAAGAAAACCGAAGTCCTATCTCGTCCAGCTTCCCGCTTCCCAGGGGGCAGCCAGATACTCATGCTAGCATCTCAGCAACAACCAAGTTCTTTACCCCAACTGTGCTGACCTCAGTAACATTTTCTGCCCAGCTTTAGAATGCCAGATTAGAAAGCCCAAGGAAGCACCAACCTTCAGTACAGGCAGGCTGAGCTAGGTCTTCCACTTGCAGCTCATTCTCCCCTGACCTGAAATAAAAAAAAGTAAGACAAGCAGGTAAGTTTTGGCAATCTGAGGTAACACCGGTTAACAAGGTGATCACAAAGACAAAGGACCCAAGAAGATTCAAAGGCCAGCTTATAATTGGACCATAAATGCTGGCAGAACCGGAAATTCTGGACACCTTTAAAGCTGTCTTGTAGATGTATGTTTGTGTGGATGCACACTTTCATTGACACCTTTGAAGAAAACCTGTGCCGGATTCCATTTGCTGATTCCTATCCGTAGCAAAGGGCACACAGGAAACACACACTAAGGTGATGATGACTCATGCACCATGTCTAGACAGCCCAAGCCAAAGTCACACACACATACGTACCTAATTTCACTATCTAACTACAGTTTTTGAAAAGTGGCTAATACTGTATGTTTCTTTGAGATGTATCAAGCCTCTGGAACATGCTATGGCACCATACCAAAAGCATGCAGGGGAAACACCTGGATAAGGCCTCGTTTAGTAGCAAGCAGAAAGGGGGAGGTGTTCCCAGTACAGTAACTGGACTACATGGCTTCAACTATCCAGAGCAGCAGCTTATCCATAATGCTGTTAAGAGCTGCAGACAAACCATGCCGAGTCTTCTAGTCCATCTTGCTAGTGGATGAACCAGGAACAATTCATCTCTGGCCTTCCACTTCCAGAGCAAATAAACATTGCTAATATATATACTATAAGGTTATAGTATATATATATACTGTATAGTATATATAGTAGTAAAGGTTTGTTGCAGGTAATTGTACACAGACAAAGACTTCTACTCCACCTTGCTAGTGGAATCTGCCTCTTGAACCAGGAACCATTCATATACGAAGCCATGCAGTCCAGTTAGTGGT